ACAACCACAACCAACAACAACAACCAACAACAACAACCAACAACCACAACAACCACAACAACAACAACAACAACAACAACAACAACAACAACTTATGGAGGAGGAGCTGGGACGAAAGCTACACAAAGCACCAGCAGAGACCTGCAAGCGTGCATGCAAGAAGCAGCAGTGGCGGAACTTTCTCAGTCACCACAGTGAGACATGGGAGAACTTGGCACATGTATGGCAGAAATTGCAAAGCAAGGGCGAAAGAGGAGTAAACGATTGGCAGGGAATTGCCATGGCCAGATGCGCAAAAAATCTTAGGCTCTATCGTGGCTGCGCGAGCACCAGACAGAATAATTCAGGCAATGGCGGCTGGAGGTCCCACAGTCTTCATTCCGTCATGGTCGACAAGCACGTGTGGTGCAACGAGACAGTTGGCACTGTCGCCTTATTCTGCTCAAACTTCAGCGAGTGCAGCGATTCTCCTCCGAATTGGTGATGCCTGAGGCTGTGCTGGACAGGATCCTGCAGTCCATGTGCGAAAACTGCGAGGCTAATGTCATTCTGTCCTAGCGCAGGCAGCCAACCCGAAGCGCGCAAATTCCACGAAGCCGGTAAGCGAAAATCATGAGTATCACAGGGTTCCCGCTTCCCAACTAAACACCGAAAAACCTTTGAGGGACGCCTCTTGTCAAATCCAGCTCCTGGTGCCGTCAAGCATCGACAATGCAAAGAAATTCCCCACCGCAAGGGGGGCCTTTCCCCGCACCACCAACTGATAAGAAACTCAGCTTGCCCTTAGGGCCCAGCTTTCGTGACAAGGGGAAGGCAGCAGCAATACCAACAGCGGCAGCAACAACAAGTACTACAACTACTGTTAACCAACGAAAGCATTTACAGCAGCGAACTGAGGACTATGTGCAGTAACTGTGTCTCAGCGAGTCTATGGGTAGCAGCTTTGAACAAGGGAGTTTATCGATACGAGCTTTGGCACAGGGAATTCCCAGGGAAGAAGCTCGAATCGCTCTTAGAAGTCTAAGGGTTGCAGCCCACACTACAAAGCAGTACGAAAAAGCTATAAGACCAGCAGGAGCCACGAAACACCGCCGAGGCGGGAAACCAACGGTAGCGCTGAAACACCAACAAAAAAGAAGCTGGCAGGGGCGGGAGGCAAGAAACAGCATCCGCTATCACAGAAGGGGGGGACGATGGCAGCACTGCTGGTGCATCGGGAGGCGGAGAGGGGTAAGGTCCGGGAGGGTGAGTATGTCACTCTGACTCTTGAGTCGCCAGCTTCGCTCTTGACCTTCTCCTGAATCTTATTGAGCGCCTCGCGAAACAAGGCAGGCTTTCCCGTGCACTCCCAAGAGCGTCTTTACATTCAATACAATCAAATCGCCTGCTTCAAAGTCTGGCTTTCCACAGTCTTGAGCGCGACCTGAGCTTTGAGGGACCTGCAACGGAAATGGCAGAAGAGGTGCCGGGCGAAGCGAGGCAACTTCGATGATGCTTGACTTGCACGACGGCTTCGGTGCTTCGAGATGCTTCCGGGCCCATGATTCCCTTGCCGTCACCGTTGCGAGCCATGCAAACGCAGGCAGACGGGCAACCGAAAGCAACGCCCTGGACCTGGCTAGATCGGACTTGGGCTGCAGAATGAACATTTTGCCAACCTGCAGGAGGCGACATTTAAGACTGAATCCTTTGCCGTTACTTCTTGCTATGCCGGAGGATGAGTTCACCGCCCGCCTGTCTGTAGACCTTCATTTCTTCTGGCATAGGCTGCAGCTCCTTGCACGAGCGTTGCAATGCTCGTAAATCCGGCAAGTAGAAATCCTTCAACTATCTTGCGCCGCGGCGCAAGATACCGGCCTCGCGAACAAATGTAAATGTAGAGCTTCGGGCGCCTTCTCAGTCAACTCAGCCCGTTTGCCCTCCAGAAGGCAGTGCTTGATCTTTCCCTGGCGCGTTCGGAGCTCGCCATTCGATGGACTCTTCGTGAGTGGCAGGATTCATCGAGGAGCAGGTGTCTGCTTGCAGAAAGCTCTTCGTGCCTCCACTTGCTTCATCTCGACGGTGAGCGCCTAGCCGCGTGTGCGAGCAATTGACGCAATCGCAGAAACGACTCTCTGGCTGACGCGGCGAAGGCTCTTCGACACGTCAAGCGGGTCGCGATTTAAGCTCTGCCTGCAGCCGCTCTTCCACTTCTTTGACCTGCCGCTGCATGGCGCCAGGCGGTTAGCCAAAGTCGCCAGGCGCCTGGCCTGCCCGGCAATCTCTGCGTCAAGGGCCTCGCAGAGATCTCTGCAGGAGCATTCAGTTCGCAGCAGTCTCCTCGAGAAAGCATGAACTGCACAGCATGCCTCATTGTCTTTGCTTCGCTTGTGGGCCTGCCAGCCATGCAGCTTCACAAGTGGCATCTGCCCTGGGCTCGGCACCTTGTCTTTCTTTTTGGAACTGCCCTTGTTCTTGCCCATTGCCTCGAGCGCAGGCTTTGTGATCCGGTCGTCTTCTGACATGCTGATCATCGTGTCACCAAGGCGGAGACAAAGCTGCTCCGACCCAGCAGGGCTCAGCAGGGAACAGGTAGGGGAACCGACGAGAGGCTGGATATTATCTGGAGCTCGTGCTTGTAGGCTGCACAGCATGTGCTGCATGCTGCGGATGCTAGCTGCTTGGCAGCCACAGGTGTGCTCTACCATCACAGATCGTGTGGATGCGCCAGTTACTTCTTGTCTGCCGCTGGTTGCAGCTGAACATGGCATAGCTTGGCGTTGGCTGTCACTCTGGTGGACTCTTGAGATTCCCAGTCATGGGCAGGTCTCCCTCAGACAATCACTGGCTCACTAGCAGCAACTAGCATGTGCCAAGACGCGAAAGGACTGTTCTTGCCAGCACAGTGCTTTGCTTGGCTCCCCAGCTCCTGCAATGGTGATTGGCTCATTGATTTGATGACCATCGCCGTCTGGGACACTCAAGAGTGAAAGGAGACCCACAGAAGCAGTCAGTGGCAGGTGGACAGTCGGACAGAATTGAATGGTGAGCATCGATCCCTTCATTCCTCGTCTGCACATCCTGGCCGGGGGTCTGGCATCTCCGTTTGAAAGGCACGAGAGGCCAGGTTGACTGCGCCACAACCTAGATCGGGAGGACCCGGCGCTTCACCGGAACAGTGATTCTTGTCGAAGCACCTTCGCATGTCCTTCAAAAGCTGGCGGCACTCCTCTTGCGGTGTCTTGATACTGCTGCAGAGGCTGGTGCATGCAGCTCGAAGGTGTTTTCACACCCCCAATGTGCTTGCTGATCGAGATAGTGGCGACTCCCCAAATCAAGGGCTTCTGAGTTAACGAGGTGAAGCACTGGCACGTGTCAAGCCTTGTGTCGGACGCTGCACGGCCATGCCGAGAGCCTGTCGGCCGTCGGGCCGGGCCGGGCCAGCTGCGATCACTGATGATCAAAAGGATGAAGCAAGAAGGTCCGTCCGAGATGGCCGGAGCTCTGAATCCAAGCACCCGCTTTTTGTCCGCAGTTCTCGGCCAGCACGTGCAAGAGTTTCCGTTGAGGATGCTGCAGCAACCACCAAGACCTCCTACAAGCCTGTTTTGGGCTACAACAGTCCTATGCCTTGAACCTGGCCCTGACACCATCTGACACCCTCACTTCCCCTGAGCCTCGGTGTGGCCCAGCAGGAGCCCCACGCGAGGGCGGAAGCACCCTGCGGAAGCACCCTGAGGTCACAGCGAAGGCAGCGAGGGGGTGCCATAAAAAACTGCCGAAGCGGCCTTGCGACAGCTGCAGGGCAGTCGATGCGTATTTCGGTGTACATCTTACAGCTTGACCTGCTCTGTGCAGTTGGCGTTCGTGACCGAGCCTGCAAATGTGGTTGAAAATAATTCGAGATATTCGAGTGAAACGCCAAAGGGTCAGTTGATGAATTGGGGTGCAACATGCCTTGCAAACGACATCGCCAAAATGGTGGAAAGGTCGTCGGTGCATAAGGTGTTGACTGCAGTGCGAATACATTTCCACCTTTCGGCCTCTGAACTATTAACACGCCGGATGACACTGTGGTTCTTCCCGCTCTGAACCATCGTGCACACGCATGCTCTCAGCCCAGTTGTCAGTTTGACATGGAGCTGAGAGCAGTCACACAACTTTGCAGGATCGGGCAGCAATTCTGCATGGTGACGATGCTATCTGCGGCTTCAGCCGGAAAGCCTAAAGCTATCTGCAACCCAAACATGAAGGCAGGCCAGTCCGCGAGGGCAGAGGCGAAATTCAAGGAAACATGTTGTCGAGGTCTCGCTGAACCTCGCCCTCATGACTATGGCTGCTTGCCGGTGTTCGGCTTGCATAGAGCCCGCCTCCGCAAAAACTCCTTCTGCCCCTTCCTTGCTTTGGGCACAGCTGGCCATGGCCGAGTCTGCGGTCCGGAACCTGCACTGGACCTCTAGAGATGCCAGAAGCTGCGAGATTGACAAAGTCTTCTCTGGAGGTCAAAAAAAAGTAGAAACGCGGACTGTTTTGGAAGACAGGCGCTACCGCACTGCTTGACAAGCTGCCTCGCCTGTGACACTTTTGCAGTTCCCAAATGCTTTCAGCAGCAACGTTGCAGCGATTCAAGCTCAGTGGCAAAAAACAACTCTCACTCAAGCAGCTCGGCCTAAGTGATGCTGCGTACTGAACTTGACTGTACCATGGTGATCTTACTCGGTCGGAGATGCCTACCATCCTGGTTGCTAAGAGCTGGGCACTTTCGTCGGCGTCCATACAGGGGCTAAGGCACTCGGGTGCCAGCACGCCGAAAGGAGCCCGGTTCTGTCGGGAGTCTTCCATCAGAAGCAGTTGTAGCGGTTGGGCTTGCTGAGTCTGCGTCTGAACCTGTCAAGTAACGTCTGACATGCTGCGACAGGACCTCCACGCACGAGTCTCTTTTGCAGGCCGAAGCGCAAAGTTCTGCTGGGTTACAAGGTTTGAAAAACATGTCTGCATGCAACAAACTGCAAAGTCGCTGTTTTGCATCGAGTTTAATAGTCCCACATCCAAATGTAGTAGGTTCTAGAGTCGCCTGACTCCAAAGATTTCTCCTTTGAGCTTCAATGATCCAATGTCTTGGAAGCCTCCGGGCTGGAGCTGCTGTCCAGGTTGAGGACCTCTGGTGCCTGGCACGGCCAAAGCCCGTGCACGATGTAACGAAGCCTAGACACTCCCTGGAGCTCACAACTCACGCTGAGTCTCAGATTTCCACGAGCGGCTCTGTCCATGACTGCGGGGTGCTGCAGCACGAAAGCATGCTGAGGCCCTTTCATGTTGCGAAGGATGTCGCTTCTTGCTTCTGCCGGTGGCCTGCTCGAAATTATGACGTCAAGATTCACAAAGCTTCACCTGCCCGCAACCGCATACAGCAGTGCAAGGAGGATCGCTGCATGAGTAGTTTAGCTCACCAAACTCTTTGGGCAATTCATCCCAGGCCCATACCCCGTAGGAATAAGAGCCTTGGCCATGCTTCGGAGGCTACTTTTATCGGAGAACTCGCAACATAAAGAGTAATTCCGGGCTCTCGTTCTACACCTCGCTCCTGCTAGGTTCATCGGAGCTCCCGCGACATGAACCCGATGCCTGGCGAATGGATGTCTCGTGGCCACGGCGTTCGGCGGTGCCACCCCTCGCACACAGTTTCATGGCGCCTTTACAAATGTTGATGACTCCGTGACACATGCAGCGGCACTGGTGCAGCCAACCCCTGATCCAAATCCTGCAGGCTCAAACTCCAATCCTATCCGTTTCAGGCAAGAGGCCTTGTAGAGGCTCGCCCGTCCCTGTAAAGGAGCGCGTGTGTCTTGCTGATAGCTTCAGACCAGGGCACCGGAGTTTACAGCAGCTTTCCAGGCTCATGTTAAGACTTTGGAACATTCTTTAAGTCTTTGAAGCTAAGGGGAAGGCAGTCAGTCGAGCATTGCAGAAACTTCCGGACCAAACCGTGCACAAAGCAAAGCCCAGAAGCGACCTTGTTCCGGGGCGTGGCCCGGCTTCTGATCGGCGATTCCCATCGATCATCTGGCAAAGACACAGCTTGAAGCTTACGGAAGAGGAGCCCGAAGCGCCACAAGCTGCGCAAGCAAGTCCTGGGCGTCCTCTGACGGCAGAACTGACGTCAATCCTTAACTCCTTGAGGGGCCTGTTGAAGCCGTGCTCCATCTCTCGTGCTAGGCCGCACGCCTGCGAATCGGTCGCAGTCGTACATGCTGCGGAGTTTGACGGATGGAGCAACGAGGAGTGACGTCAATGCATTCAGCAAACTCGGATTTTCACGAAACGCAGTCGACAAAACAACGATTTGCAACGAGAGGCTGGAGGCTGCGCTGTTATGGCAAAATACTCTTGGTGGCGAACTAAGCCAAGCTGTTATGTTGCACTTCTCATGTTCAGGATGCTATCACCGGTCAGTACCGAGTCGGTCATTCCAGTGGCTTTCCGACGCAAACGTGCAGATGTGCTCAACATATTGAGCAACAGCAACAGACTTCTCGGATGACATGACAACTTCTGGAATCATCGAACTTCAAAGAGGTGCTGTCCGAGAAAAGTGTTTGCATGCGACAAGGCGGTTACCTTCATCTTGAGTGAAGGCAGAGATCGCTGCACGCTGGAACGCTTGACACCCACTCATAGTGGCATCTGTTTGCGCTGACAGGCCTGCCTGAATCTACAAGCAGTATACAGGCCCTGAATACAAAGCCGAGGACGCGGGCCATCCAGAGTCCGATGCTCCGACGGCCCGTCGCGAGTCACCGGGCGACTCTCCGAGAGGCGCCTCGGAGCGGAGGTCCGCGCCGCGCCGGAGGCACAAAAACTGTGAGGTAACGCTTGGCCGCGCCCCTACCGCTTGGCCGCGGGCCATCTGCTGCCATCCTGGGTGCACGGCCGAGCGCCTCAGAGCAGTTCCTAGCCAGACTCCACAGCGGAACCCCGAACCAGGGCCAGCACCATCTCGCGTGGCAGGTCGATCGTAGCCATCACGTGCACTCAACGGGCCTCACCGCATCTAAGGCCGCGCACCCGGATCGACAGCTAGATTTCGTGCACAAAGCTGGTCCCATCGCTGCAATTCTGGACCAAGACTCTTTGCCCTTGGGCTCGTGCAGTCCAGAACGGCCTCCCAGTTTCTGGACGTGTTGCCAGAAACCTGGCACTTGGCGCTTGTGAGGACACTCAATGCATGATCGGTATCGAGGGTGTGGAGCATGGACTCAACAGCTTCGGTTCATCGTTCTCTTTCGGGAGTCACTTGATACAGTGAGCATCACAGTGCCACAGAGCAGAGATTGGACATTCTGCATGGAAAGACTTCTGCTGCACTGACAGCACATATCAAGGCCTCAGACATTCCGAATCCTTCGCAGGTAGACTTCCGCGATGCTCTCTACAATGCCAACGTCACCAAGAACGAAGCAGGCCCAGCAATATCTGGATAGCAAACTTCCCAGGGAACCTTGATTGAGGAGGTGTCGTCGCCTGCAGAAATGCTCTTGCAGCGCATCCCCTGACTATGCCGAGAATTCTTCTGCAACCAACAGGGCGTGGCTGACAGTATTTCTTCTTTGCCACAGCATGCGACAGTGATGTGGTGTGAGAAGTGACGGTTTCTAGAAGACGTGGGAAGCCTCTGGTGCACTGATGGCAAATGCAGCCACACATGTCACACCGCTTCCCAGTACTAGGCGCTCAATGTTGCCAACAGGCCACATCGTAAGCCCCTCATAGTCTGTGCAGCAAGCTCGCTCGGACAGCAAAGACATTGCAGCACGTGCGTAATGAAGCCCTCCGAACTAGAAATGGAACATCCGACAACACGGCGCTCTAGAGACATGCGATGCTCAAAGCCGTGCCGCTGCTTTAGACAGAGGGAGCAATAGCAGCTCGGGATCCGGCGCTGTTGAAAATTGCATCTTCGAAAGCTCCGTCCACAAGAAACTGCAATGCATTGAAGCCTACAACATGCATCCCAAACCCGAAACGCGACGAAGCAGCTCACTGTAAACAGAGCTTTCCATGTCATTGGCGACATTTGTTCGCGCACGGCATTGTAACCGAAGCAAGGATGTTTGGGCTGTACAGCAAGCGAAAGTACACTCTCGACAGGTACAAGGCGTCATTCAATGATTCGCTTCACAGAGTCGTCCACCAGTATTCGGTAGACGGCGTCCTTTGCGCTTACAGCCGAAGCCTTGGTTTAAGGAGGTGAAATCCGCCTCCAACCCTGCATGTGCTAACCCCGACTCCGGCCAACCTGATTGCCGAATGCAAACAGTTTCAAACATGGTGGCCCAGGCATTTACCCTAACCTTCCAGGTACCGACTAGATACGGCCCTAGGGGCTCTAGTACCCTATATACTAGGTTCCTGGAGGGTTAGGGTTAAGCTTCATAACTCGAAGCCCGCAAAATCCTTAAACCGATGTGGAGCTATTGAGGGCCCGTTCTGGCAGCTTCGGAGGGCTCAGGTCCTTCTGGCTGGCAGAGGACTCCGCCACACGTTTCGTCAGCTCCTTCCAGGTGGGGTCGAACTGAACCATCCTGGCATTTCCGATGCTCTCATGGTTGCTTTTCAGATTCAAACAGTGTTTTTTTGAAGCTCTGTTCGGTTGCGCTGCATATGGTCTATCTCGGAATAATTGAAAACACGGGAACTTCTGCTTCGAGTTTTCATTGACATCAGGGCCTCTCAGAGAGATCAAACCTTGGTCAGGGCAAGGCGAGGCCCTAGAGCCCTTTAGGAGTCCAGCAAGAACCTGAAGGCATTCGCGGTGTGCAAAGAAAGTCTGGTACCGATGTCGCTTGCCCATCTCTCCGGATCTCTCCGGGCAAGCCTGTAATAGCTCGCTGCTTGGTCCCACATGCGGAAGGAGATGTACTGGAACGGTGCATCCGCCCAATCGATGGCCTGCCGGTCTGGTGGTCTCCTCTAAGCTTTCAGGCTGGCAGACATTTCGCCTTGTAGGTCCGCGTCCACTCGTAGCCTGGCTGCCTCTGGGCCAGACGCGCCTGGTCGCTCCAGTTCGCCTGGCTCGGGGCCACTTCAGAGAAATCGGGGCCTAGGCTTGGCCAAACAGTCAACTTGCCGTCTTGCCGTCGGTGCCTCAAAAGCCTTTTTCTTCGCTTGGGGCACCTCGTAGATGGACGTCAACTGGGCGGATGCTGCAGACCGCCCAAGCTCGAAAGTATCCTACTTCCTGCAGGGCGAAAAGTTCACCATTCTCATGTCCGAACGAGAGATCTCACTGGGCACTCTGAGGTTCACACAAGATAGTCCGACTCTGGCGTAGCCAACTGCAGCTTTAAGGAGACAAACAGTTCCGGAACCCAGCACCAAAACGCACCAACTCACGAGATGACGCTGCCTTGCCGCGGCGGACATAGGTCCCATAGACGGTGCCGAAGTACATACCGGTCGCCATATATGCCAGGACTGAGCGAATGGGATTTTGGCTTTCGCACGGTGTTCCAACTTCGTTTTGAAGTGTTTGTGTTTGCCGCTGTCGTGTGACTTGCATTCAACCTTGCAGGTTGGCGCACGCAGTACAACGCATGGGTTGTTTTGCAAAGCCTTTGTGGGCCCTGCGCGTTTTCCGGTCTCAGGTTGCAGAATCTTCCTGCCTGGGGAAAATGCAGGCCCTCTGTCCTGAATCCCGAGGACCTGAGGGCAGTGCGCTTCTCCATTTCATCCAGCTCTTCCCACCACTCCATCGCAGCCGAAATTCGGCCTACCAGGCGCCGCACCTTGATCAACGAATTGCCCGTCACAGCAACAAGAGCGATTGAAAGTTGCCAGACGACCCTATGCCACACTATGAAATGCCGTGTATGAAGTCTGAGGGCACAAGATGGAACGACACAATTTTCGTCCGGGAGGGTCTCGTCCCATGTCCCTCTGATTATATCGTCGCTTCGTGAACCCGAGGCATTATTCTCAGCCGGGGCCTGTAAACACGGGAGAAATCGTCAAGGCTGCGGCCACCATCGCCAACCGCGGCCAGGGCAGGGAACGGAACCCCGACTCTCCCAAGTCCGCTTGAACCAAAGAGGTGCCGGCATCGGCTCAAGATCTCCAGCGCTTGAATCCTCAAGATCTTCAAGCTGGTCTCTGCAGTAGAGTCCTAGAGAGAGTGCTGCAACGGCCACAAGATCCGGCCTGAGCCGCCCGAGCCCGGCCCTCCCGGGCCCGAGCCCCACTGCGGCAAGGTCTGCGCTTGGCCGCCGAGGCCGCCGAGGCCGAGGCCCAGCGCCCCCAGGGCCAAAGCTCCAGGAGGCGTCCGCCCCCCGGCGAGCGAGCCGCCGGAGCTGCAACGAGGAGAGATGCAGAGAGGAAAGCGCGGGAAGACGAAATCTTATGATTCTCTAACGCAAGGGGGAATTATCGATCAGTCTCTTCGGACCACCGTCACGTCCCTCACTCAGGCGGGCCCTACATGATTCACTGGACGCCCCTCCCAAGCTTTTTCGTGAAGCTGCACTTCCTGAAGCTGGTGACTCAACCCTTGCCTGCTGCAGCCACCTTCCTCCTCTGGAATCTCTTGCTTCAGCTGAGTGAGACGTGCCTCCCAGCCGACACTTACAAGGCCCAGGTTCTCATGGAACATGATTGTAGGCTATTTGAAGCTCAGGACAGTTCAGCAGCACTGGTGCCGTTTTTGACATGGCTCGCATCACTTGAGGGAACAACCTTAATTGCGAGGAACTGGCAGCAAGAATTCACAGGAATCTGCTCAAGCATGACAAGCAACAGCCCACCAAGACGTTTGTGGCGTTGGGGGATTAGGTTGCACTCCATATCCCGCTAACACTAGCTTAAGCACTGCCGCATATACATCTGCGCTCTCAGAAAGTCAAGCAGCCTGAGAGAAAAAAAGAGACGATGCCGTGATGCCTCCACGTTGTTGGCAACATCCCTGAGGGATTTGCCAAAGCTACCCATGGGTGCTCGAGAAAGGCTTTTCTGCACCTGCGGGCAGCAAGCTTGTGTCCGGCTTTTGGGTTGATGATTCTACCGTTCCACTT